AAGTGGATTTTAGCTCTACTTCCAGCCTAATATGAATTTTGCTGAGGTATAACCAGAGCAGGAATCCTAGACCAATAGAGAGCCTGATACTGGCTGAGTGAGGAGCACTTTACTGTTTCTCGGACCTAAATCCAGATCAGAAACTTGCAGCTCAGACCAGAGGGAGGCGATTAGGCTTTCCCTGGATCAGACCATTTTGGAAGCACTGAAAGTTTGCAGGTCACCAGTCTGTGTCCATGAGATTCTGGAAAAACACAACCTTTAATTTCTCCCAAGCAAGCAGCAATAGGACCAATACCAATGTTCTCTCCAGAAGTGAGAAGAACCTAGCCCCTAGCACACAGTACAAAATCAGAAGGTGGGGGGCAGCTAGGTGTCGCAGTGGATTCAAGAGGACCTGAATTCAAATCTGGCCTCAGACACATAACACTTACTAGCTGTGTGATCTTGGGCAAGTCACTTAACCCTATTGGCTAGCCAAAAAAACAAAAAACAAACAAACAAAAAAAGAATCAGAAGGTGGGCTGAAAAAATTTATAAACAAACAAAAAAAAAGAATCCTACCATAAAAAGCAACTAGGGATGCTCAAAACACAAAGTCAGAAGAGAAAGACTCCAAAAAATCTATAAGCAATGCCTCAAAGAAAAACGTGGCCTGGGCACAAATTCAACCAGAATTACTAAAAGAGATAAAGCAACCGTTAAAAAATGTTTTTTTTTATAAATGAATTGAGAGCACCAGAGGAAAACACAGGGCAAAAACGGAGCTATGGATAGAAAGGTTTGGAAAGGGAATTAACAGTTTGGCATAAAAGCTACAAAAGTTTGCCAAAGCAACAAACTTCCTGAAAATTAGAATAGAACTAATAGAAGTTAATGATTCAATGAGACAATAAGAAATATTAAAACAAAGTCAGAAGACTGAAAAAAGAGAAAAAAAGATAAGGTATCTCATAGCAAAACAACTGACCTGGAAAACAGATTGAGGAGAGATAAATTAAGAATCATTGGATTACTTGAAAGCCATAACAAAAAAAAAAGTATAAACATTACACTTCAAGATATCATAAAAGAAAACTGCCTAGAACTCTGAGAAACAAAGAGCAAAATAGAAATAGAAAGAATACACTGGTCACTTCCTGAAAGAAACTTCAAAATGAAAACTCACAGAACATTATAGCCAAAAAAATCCAGAGCTGCCAGGTCAAAGAAAAAAATATCTGCAAGCATTTAAGAAGAAACTACTGAGGAGCCAGTCAGGATTATACATAACTTAGCAGCCACCACTATAAAGGAATACAGAACTGAATATGATATTCTGAAAGGCAAAGGATATAGGGTTAAAATCAAGAAAAATTCATCCACAGAAACTAGTAGAATCCTACAGAAAAAAAAATGGACCTTTAATAAAATAGAGGACTTCCACACATTGTTGATGAAAAGACCAAAACTATATAAAAACTCTGAAGTTAAAACACAGGAGTTCAGAAAATCAGAAAAAGGTAAACAGAAATAAACAATGATAAAGGAGTAAGCAAAGATGGTTTACATTGTAATATGGAGAGATGATATATGTGTCTCCTCTGAATCCTACCATTATCAGGGACCATAAGAGGGAGTCTAAACAGATGGTTGTGGAGTGGTTATATTACATTTTGATCTTAAGAGAAGAATGGAAAGGGAGGGGAAGGAAAATCGAGGTTACGGAAAATTCTCTCACAATCAGATGTGCAAGAAAGATCTATACAGATAAGGACTGGGGGGTGGGGGTGGGGCAGGACTTGACACCCGAACCGCTCAAAGGAGCTAAAACAAACACACACACACACAGTTGGTACAGAAATACATTTCACTCAACAGGGAGAGGGAGGATAGGGAATTAGAAAATTGAAAGATTAAGGGAGGGATTAGTCCTAAGCAAAACAATCTCTTAAAGTTGTACAAAAATATTTATAGCTTTTTGAGGTGGCAAAGAATGGGAGTTTGACGGGGAGTGGCTATCAACTGGGGAATAGCTGAACAAGTGTGGTATAAAAGGCAATGAATATTATTGTACTATAAGAAATGATGAAGGTAGCTTCACAGAAAACTAGGAAGACTTGCATGAAATCATACAGAATGAAGTGAGAAGAAGCATAATAATTTATACCAAGACAATAATATGGTAAAGACAAACAATGTTGAAAAAATTAGGGATGCTAATCAGCCCAATGACCAAGTATAACAATGAAACATGCCAACCACCTCCTGACACAGGTGAAAGATACAAAGTGAAGAATGAGTCATGTGTGTACATGAGTGTATGAGTATACACACACACACACACACACACACACACACACACACACACACATACACACACATAGACACACAGACATTCTTTTAATCATGGCCAATGTGGAAATCTGCTTTGCTTGACTATATACGTTAGTAATCAGGGTTTTGGTTTTCTTTCATTCTCAATTGGGGAGGGAGGAAATAAGAGGCAGAAAGGGTAGATTTTTGCTGATTGAAAAAATATAATTTTTTTGAAAAACTTGACCAGAAGGAGAGAAATATAGTTAGTAGTTTGTCTGAAAAAGGTCCAGGGGTTTTAATGAATTGCAAAACTCAATGAGTTAGCAGTGAGAGCTAATGCTTTCTTTTTTGCTTTAAGAGTTATATTTTCCAAGAAAACAAAAGTGATAATGACTGTGTCCTAGTCAAAATAGTTTAGGAAAGATAGTGATAAACTAGAGAGCAATGTACTCTTTAGGTTTTCATGACATTTTTCTCCTGGTACTTCTATTTTTTCTATCTCTTCAACTGCTCCATCTCAGTGTTCTCTGACAGATCTTTATCCAGGTCATAACCAATGACCAAGGGTATCCTCAAGGCTCTGTCCTGGGCCCTCTTCTCTTTTCCTTTTATATTATTTCACTTGATGATCTTATCAACTCCCATGGTTTCAATTATCATCTCTATGCAAATGATTCTCAGATACATTTACCTAGCCCTAGCTTACCTCTCTCCTGACCTCCAATGTCACAACTCAAATTGCTTATAAGACATCTAGAACTGAATTATCTCTTAGGCATTTTAAACTCAACATGTCCAAAACTGAATTTACTATCTTTTTTCTAAAACCCTCCCCTCTTTCTAAATTCCCTATTACTGCGGAGGGTACCACCATCCTCCCAGTCACATAAGCTCATAACCCAGGTGTTGCCTTTGACTTCTCACTCTCTTTCAACCACCTTCCATTCTCCCTCCTTCCTCTCCCCATATCCAATCTGCTGCCAAGTTAGTTATTCCTACCTTCCCAACATCTTTCATATGTGTCCCATCCCCCCTCTTCTGACAGTCAACACCCAAGTACAAACCCTTATCACAGGTCCTGAACTATTGCAACAGCCTTCTGGCTTGTCTCTCTGCCTCAAGTCTCTCCCCATTCCAGTGCATTCTTCACACAGCTTTCAGGTTAGTTTTACCAAAGAGCAAGTTGGACCCTATCATTCCCCTCCCCCATCAATCAACTCCAGTGGCTCTCCATTACATTCAAAATCAAATATAGGATCTTCTGTTTGGCTTTTAAAGCTTTCCATTATCTTTCCTATCTTTCCAGTATTTTCACTCCTTTTATCTACCACACTGCCTCCCCACAACTCTCCAGTACCACTGGTCTCCTTGCTGCTGCTCACACAGAACATGCCAGCTCTTGACTCCTGGCATTTTCACTGGCTGTTCCTCATGCCTGGAATGATCTCCCTTCTCATTTCTACTCCTAACTTTCAAGCCTCAGCTCAAATCCCACATCTTGCAAGGAGTCTTTGCTAATGCCCCTTAATGCTAGGTGCCTTCCCTCTGTTGATTATTTTCAATTTGACAGGCATTTACCTTGTTTGCACATGGTTGTTTGTATGATGTCTCCCTCACTACACTGTCAGCTCCTTGAAAGCAGGGAATTTCTCTTATTATTCTTTATATCCCCAATATTTAGCACAGTCTCTGGCAAAGAAGAGGCTCTTAATAAATGCTTGCTGACTGACTGAACCAAGAATAGTGAAGGGTCTTTGAAGCCACTGTATACAAGGACTGATCGAAGAAACTGGGGATATTTAGCTTAGTAAAAAGATGATTCAAAGGTTGGGGGAAGAGACAGGGATAATATGGTTTCAAGTATCTGAAAGGCTATTATGGGAAACAATGATTAAATTTGCTCTGCCCTAACAGGGCTTTAGAAAATTTAATGGAAAAATTAAATTTGATATCAGGGGAAAAACTTCCTAACAATTAAAGTTATCCCATGCTTGAGGAGGTAGCATTGTCCTTAGGGGTCTTCAAGCAGAGTCTAGATGGCATCTTGTTGAGAACATTGTAGTGCTAATTCTTTTATCTCTATGGATTAGAGTAGGCGGCCACCCAGGTATCTTTAAACTCTAAAATTCCAGGTTTACATCAGGTTTTATTTTTCCTTCCACTGACATAAATGATCTACATACTCTAGTCAACTATGCAAACAAGAAAATCTTTGCTCATTATCACAGTTACTAAACAAAAAAACTAGCTTTGGTTTGTTGGCATCCCCAAAAGATTATGTCTTTAAAAGTTTTGGTTTCATTTACAATAATAAGAGTCATAAAAACAATTACAATAAAAAGCTGGGTAAAATTTGATTTCCTAAAATTATAGCAGATTTAGAAAGGATAACAACAAACCAAGGAAATAGTTCTATGGACATCAAAAATAGTGATTTTAAATATAATTTTAAAAATCAGTTTGTATGAAAATATTGGTTTTAGTTTTTATTGATATTAAACTCTATTAATAAAATAGAAATAATAGAAAAGGGCAAAAATAGGATTTTAAAGAAACCATACAAAAATTTTTTAACATTTCTTTTACATAACTATTTTTATGTCTACACAATCCCTAATTTCTACAATATAATAATGGTGAAAAGCAAATCTGAACAACAGCCATTTTGTAAAAATGTTCTAAAAATTTAGTAAATTATTTACCTTAAAGCCCGACTAAGCTTCTCATAGTTCATAGTAGGCTTATTTTTACGCTGTCCCCATTTTTGTGCCACCAGTTCAGGCTGATTTAGCTTAAACTCTCCTTCATCTCCAACCCAGGAAATGCAGTCTCGAGCATCTTTGTCAGTAAGAAGTTCCAATAAAAACTGCCATAGTTGAATCTGTCCATTATTTCCTATTCAGACAGAATTAGAAGCCACAACTATCATTCTTATACATGGAACAAAGAGGAAATAAGTAATATATTTCTTTGGTTTACAATCCACTAACAAGAGCAATACAAATACTTGGTCACTACTGGAATCTCACTTGAGGGGAAATTCCACTTTCACTCTATTGTTCATCTGTAATGAAAATTCCCAGGTATAATTCTAACATACATATGTAATCTGGACAACACATTAGGAATGTAAATACTTGATAATAAAGAAGGTAGGAAAATACCAGTTCTGTTTCCAGGTGAACTTCTATCCTCTCCAGAAATTCGTGGGGCTCTCTGTACTTTAGCAGTCTTTGTGCTACTGTTTATAACTTTAATGGTGGTTGGTGTGGTGGGCTGTACTGATGCTGGTATAATCTGAACAGCTGAAACATAAGACCATAGAAAAAAACAATTATAATTTCCTAATAAAAGATATGTGCAATATTCTGGGAACACATACATACACATTTATCTTAATTCCTTTCCTTTAATGTAGTTTTCGGAAAAGACTTACAATTTCGTGACAGTCACAAAATAACTTGACAAGAAAAAGATCCAAAGTTTTTAGCATACTGATAAATAAAATATTTTATATAAATAACTTGGCAAATACTTGATCCTCTCTCTGAAAAATAAGTCACAATGATATATATGGGACTGAAATTGACACTAGAAGTGTCAAATTCTCACCTGCAAAACCAATCAGATTAAATTATAATTGGAAAATGTTTAACAATAAAAATAAAAAAAATAATACAAGATAGATTATATTAATTTGTGGTTTTCTAAGTTAATATGCAGGCCACAGGAATCCCTTTCTATTTGAGTTTGACATTCTTTATCTAATATGAGAGGTAGTGTGATGTAATGGTTGAACATTTGGTCTTGGAGTCAGAATATGACCCCGAGAAATCCCTCAACTTTTGAGCTCCCCAGGCAACTCTTTAAGGTTATAAATTTCAGAGAAAGTGCTGATCTGTCTTGGTAGAGGAAGTTCCTATACCAATGAAATCACAGGTTTGGTTAAAAAAACAACAACAATACTACATTATGGCTTATTACACTATAACTATACAATCATATATTCTGTACTTTTTATATTGCCCAAGTATAGGAAAATTCTGTTGATCAACTATTCTAATTAGTTATATTCATTATAACAAATGAAAAAATGATTTAAAGAAATATTAAATTTAGATACGGACTAGCAAGTAACAGACCAAATGAAAAACAAGGCTTAAAATACAGCAAATGATATTAACAAAGTTGATTCAAAAAGGTCTGCAATTTGCTTTTAAGAAATAAAATGATTTTTCTTCTAAGTGAGGAAGCGATAAACTATAGATCTACATACTCACGTTGATCAATAGTAACTGTTGCTATTTCACCCATGTGTTGCTCTTGGCTAGCCAATACATCTGAAGAATAAAGAAAAAAAATTAATCATCATTTAATTTTGTTAAATGTAAACCCCAACTGACCAAGTAAATCTGAAGCCAAATTTGTTTTTTTTAAAAATGAAGAAAACATGATTAAAAAATTTAATGATGATTTTGGCTTACATTACAAGCAAGGGTAATTGATATTTTTATTTGTTTGTGAAGAATAAATTATAACTGGCAATGGAATAAAATCTCCACTACTATTACACAAACATAATTTTAACAAGCAGAAGTTAACTTTGAGAATTATGGTTCTCTGAATGTATACAATTATGTTAAACTATAGTATGACCAAGTATAAGACGCAGGAGTTGTTCAATATCAATCAACAATGTGATATACAGCAGTGAAAAAGCTCATGTGACCTTAGTTTGCATTAAATGATAATGTTCAGGACTAAGAAACTGATAATCCTACTATGTTGTTCTCTACTCAGATGATTTTTGCCCTTTTTGGTACCTCTATCTCTTAGATCAGTAAGTACCTGGTACTTAGTAAATACTTGTTGACTGACACTGAGAAGCTGGAGAACACTCTGAGGAGGGTAACCAGGATGGTGAAAGGCCTTGAGGTCATACCACATGAGGCTTGGTTGAAGGAATTGGTAATGTTTGGCACAGAGAAGACTTAGGGGATATATAATAGTAGCCTTCAAATCTTTTAAGGGCTGCCTTGGAAAAGAAGGATTATATTTTTTCTCCTTATCCTCAGAGGGCAGAACTAGGAAAAAGGGTAGAAGATGCCAAAAGGCAAATTTAAGTTTGATGTAAAGAATATTTTTTGACAATTAGAACTAATTTAGAAAGGAATGGGTTTCCCTGGGAGGTAGTGGGGTCTCCTTCACTGGAGATTTTCAAACAAAAGCTACTTTGTTGTAGAGAAGAATACTATTAAGCCAAATGGATTGGGTTACATGGTTTCCAAGGACCTTTCCAACTCTAAAATTCTGCAAAATATCACATACACACACAAGAAAATCTTGAAAGTTTGAAATGGCACTTGAGATGAAAATAAAAATAGAAATAAATATTAAATATAATATATAATATTATATAAAATATATTTATATGTAAATATAATAAAATAAAAATTCTTAAAAGTTATAAAAAACTGAAGTTAACAAATTACACAATATATGATAGATTTAACACACATTTTCGAAGGAGCTCCAGATGACTCCACAGAATTTCTCCTCGTGGGACCCTCTGGAAAAAATCTTCTTGGTTGAGACTACATAATTCTCTTCCTGAAATGCTTAGTGTAGGTAGGTCTATATCAGTCATACTGAATTCCTTCATTACCCAAACCACCCAATGGAGGACTTGGTCTGTTGACCACTGTATGGGATCTAAAAACAAGGTAAGAAATCTCCATTAGTTAAAGCCTGTTTTGCTATACCACCACATTAGACAGCACATGTTATTTCTTAAGAGTTAAAACTTATCAACATGAAAAATAACCAGTAATAAAGTCAACAAAGATTTAAAAAAAAAACCCAGGACTGTCTTCAGCTCTCTCCCAAAGCCGTCTAAATAACTAAAACAACGGCTCTAAACAAATTCTTAAGCAGCAGAACCCACAAAAAGACAGAGTGAAACAAATTTCCAGCCAAAGACAGCCTGGATGGTTGACTGGAAAGGTGTATCGCGCCGGGTGGGGAGAGGAGCGCAGTTCGGTGTGGACGTGCAGGCCGCAGTGACCCTGGAGCAGGCCTCAGAGGACTGAATCTCGGGCAGCTGTGGCAGTTTCCAGACTTCTCAACCCATGAATGCCAAAGACAACTTAGAAGGTCAGCAGGAAAAGTCTGTGACCGCGGTGCGAGAGGAGCTAGGTCTCAGCTGCAAGTCTGGAGCACGGTCCGGGGACGCGGCTTTTTCCTGAGCTTACGGCCCACAGACTGAGGGGGAATCGAGTGGCTGATCAGAGGGGGATTGCAGGGATCTCTTTGCCAGTGCTGAGGCAGGAATCTCTTGCTTTATTGGTGCTCGGATCTGGGTCCCAGTTTTGAGGGGCAGTCCTGGGGTGAGGAGGAGCCGCTGGTGGGGTGAAGCTTGTGGTGGTGGAGAGGAAATACCTCGCGCCTTATCATACCACCTTGGAAGAACTGAAAATTTACAGGCCCCTAGAAGTACCTCTGAAAATAGCTGCATAAACCCCCCGAAGCTTGGGACAGTACACTCTTCACACTGGAAGCAGACTTTTACCTTAACAAAGAGTTTAAAACTCAAGTAACTGGCTGGGATCATGAGTAAGCAGCACAAAAAGAGTCAGACTATATTATCTTACTTTGGTGACAAAGAAGATCAAAACATACAACCAGAAGAAGACAACAAAGCCAAAGCTCCTACATCCAAAGCCTCCAAGAAAAATATGAATCAGTCCCAGGCCTTGGAAGAGCTCAAAAGGGATTTTGAGAAGCAAGTAAGAGAAGTAGAGGAAAAACTAAGAGTGATGCAAGAAAATCATGAAAAACAAGTCAACAGCTTGCTAAAGGAGACTCAAAAAAAATACTGAAGAAAATAACACCTTAAAAAAAAAAAACAAAACCCAAACCCCTAAAACCATGTAATAGTGGATAAAATGCTGGATATAATCATCATCCAGGGAAGCAACTCCTTTGGAGAAAGGGGCCAGTCATCACCAATTGTTAATCAATTTTTGCATACAAGACGGGAAGGGGAAGAGAAGGGAATACGCACTCATTTAGCGTCAGGCACTGTGCTAAGCTTTTTACAGATACCTCATCTGATCCTCATAACAACCCTGAGAAAAGTAGGTGCTATTATTATCCTCATTTTATAATTGCATAAACTCAGACAAACAGGAGTTAAGGGATTTGCTAAGGGTCACAGAGCTACAAAATATCTCTGTGGCTGGATCTGAACTCAAGTTGTCTGATTTCCAGGCCCAGAAATCTATCTCCTATATCACCAGCTGTCTTAGGAGAGCAAGGCCAGATAAAGCAGGAAGGCATCCTGAGGAGAAGACCACATGTATCAGGCAAGTAAAATGATCACCAGTATCTTGACCACCATATCCCCCCAGACTCTGAGGGAGACAGCCGAGGACCCTGAACCCAAGAGCCTTGAAAATAAAATAGGCAACACTTGTGAAACGTAGCCTGGGATCTGCTTCTGCAGGGACTATAGCCACAGCTACTTAAGAACTAGAAAAGTTCTTGGCACCATCAAGTGGCTCAAAAATCAGAAACTGATGATTTTATCAATGGAAATAACATGAAAGTGGAAGCAAAAACATTTACTCTGATGCTTCATGCTAAGAAAAACATAGGACATTTCTACCTGACTTGCAGCTGAAACTGTCCATATATGTTGTCTCTACCCCATTAGAATGTAGCTACTTGAGAGCAAGGATGTTTATTTTTCTATTTTTATCTCTAGCACTTAAACTAGTGCTTTGTACACAGTAAGCACTTAATAAATGATTTATTTATTATTCACTTGGGAATCAGGAAGATCAAAGTACAAATACTGACTCTGAGCCTGTTACTCGGCTGTAAAATGGGGAAAACATCTGTAATAGCTACCTCAGAGTTGCTCTGATGCTTAAATGAAATAGTTTAGGTAAAGTGCTATAAAATACTGTTACTAATTTTTGACTGAAATAAATTAGGCTGTAATTCTAGAAATCATATATTTTTAGGCTATATTTTTTTCCTCAGATGGTTTTGGACCCTGCCCTCTCTCTCCTACCCTGCCCCCTAACTATAATGTCTGATGGTTTCATTTAGTGTTACCAGTCATTTTACAAGATGATCACACTGAAGAGAACAGAGTAAATTGTCCAAGTTTTAGAAGTTCATTTATCTCTTTCAGATCAATATGATGCTACTTAATGCAAAAAAAGAAATAATCTACTAAGTGGATTCTCATATTTACTTCTATTAAAATGTGAATAGCTAGGATAACATTGAGACTCAAGCTCCTATGCCTGATAAAGAGACCATGAGGACTCCCTCCACCCCACTGTGCTCTGGAGGACAGGAGAGCTGTAGGGCAGAATCAAGGTACAGGTCTAGCACAGGGCCAGTGCCTGGGTTCCTGGGTCAGGACTTCCGGCCTCAGTAGCCAAGTGATACCAAGGCCAACAGGGGCTGGCAAGGAGTGTGGGCTGAGCTGGTTGTAGACTCCTTGGACCATTGGAGGGTGGGGGAATACCCTTCCTCCCATCCCAGCAAGCTCTACCTCCCCATCCTTCTCTTGCTTCCAATTAGCCACCAAAAATTAAAAAATAAATAAAATTTAAAAACAACAAATATCCCTTGGGGACAGTGAACTTCACCAATCATTTGCCAGCCCCATTTTGATTTTATTTTCCCCCACCTTTCCAATCTCAACCCAATAATTAGCCATTTCAATTCTCCTCTGTTTTTTAGAATCCCTTGCCACCTTGTTCTGTCACTGCTCAACCACCTGTCAAACCTCACCTGAGCCTGGGATTACTCCCACCACATGCTGCTTCTACCCCTTCTACCCATAAGCTGCCAAACCTAGCTGAAGGGAAGTCTCACCAAAGTGTTACCTGTGTACATTACAAATTCATATTATCCAACCTCCAATGGGTCCTCACTGAAGCAAGCTAGAACTTTTATTCTTTCCTAATTGGTTGCCTATTTCACTCCCCACAAAAGCTATTCTAAACCTTTTCTTCTCCCTTCAAGCCTCACACATCTCTCTCTATCCCCCTTTTCAGCTTAGGTTTCATCCTTTACTTTACTGAGAAAATTGAGGCCACTCAATACAAGCTCCCTCTTTTATCATTCTTCATCTCAAAGCCCTCATTCCTTTCCCCTAGTCTCTGACAAAAAAGCAGCCCTTCATGCCAAGGTCAATCTCTGTACCTGTGCACTTGATTCCATTCCTCTCATCTCCTCCAGCAGACTGAACCTTTCATCTTCAATCATTCCCCTTCTCTTTCTAGAATCTTTAACCTCTTCCTATCAGTTCCTTTCCTATTGCTTTCAAATATGCCCAGGTCTTCTCCATCCTCAAAAACCCTTCACTTACCCTTTCCTATATCTCTCCTTCTCTTCTTGCCAATCTTCCTGAAAAAGCTGTCTACGTTTGCTGCCTCTACTTGCTCTCCTCTCATTCCATCATCACATCTTTGCTATCTGGTTTCTGATCTCAACACTCAACAAAAACTGCTCCTTGAGACTTAAATGGCACAGGACAACACAAACAGGGGCAGCTGGTCTAGTTTACTGGTGGTCCTGATACTGAAAAGTCATGGCATGATGACTCACCAACTCGTCATGAGCTTGTCACTCCAGAATGGCCAATGCCGGCAGAGGCAAGCTGTGCTCAGCTCAATGAATGCTGGATTTTGGCTTGAAAGACTCTTCTACTTTTACATACTCTTATAACCTCACGTGTGGCTTAACTATCATCTCTATGCAGGCCTATTCCGAGCTTCAGTCTTCTATGACTAAATGCTTATTGGACATTTCAACCTAGATGTCTCAGAAATATCTCAAACTTAACATATATCCAAAACAGAATTTACTGCCCACCCCCAGCCAAAGCCTTCCCTATTTCTGTCTCAGGCACTACCATCCTTCCAGTTTACCAGTTTGTAACCTTAGCATTACTCCCAATCTCTCACATTCTTTTACCCCATATATCTAATCAGTTGTCAAATTTCCCCATTTCTACCTTCATAGCATCTCTCATATCTGACCCTTTCCCTCCATTCACACAGCTACCACTTTAGTTCAATCCTTCATTACCTCTTGACTAGATTACTATAATAGCTTCCCACTTGGTTAACCTGCCTCAAGTCTCTATAGTTTACCTAACATTGTAGCCAAAATAATTTCCCTTAAAAATACATCTATGTGATGCCCCTACCAATCAACTCTAGTAGCATCCTACTGCCTCTAAGAATATAACATAAATTTTTCTGTTTACCCTTTAAAGCCCGTCACAACCCAGCTCCAACATATTTTTCCAGCTTCACTGGATTTCTTGCCCCATCCTGCACTGTGCAATCCAGCAAAATTTATGTCCTGCATCACAAAAATAATGAGCAGAATAGAAAAATTGGAATCTGTAATGGCAAGCCTCACCAAAGAAACAAAAGAGAGAACAATAGATTGGGAATGCAATTATGAAGAAGTGAAGGAAAACCTAGAAGAAGAGAAGTAAAAAACAGTAACATCAAAAGAAAATATGCTCACTTTGCAAGCAAAACATATGGATCTCAAAGATGAGACAACTTAAGGATCACAGGTCTCCAAGAAGAACACAACAGGTCAAAAAACGGTAACATCAAAATGAAGGAAATAATAGAAGAGAACAGAACTACCCAGAACATCTCAACATAGAAAATGAAATTCCAATTAAATGAATTCATAGATTGCCTCCAGAAAAAAAGACCCAAGGCTGAAAACTCCAAGACACGATGGGTTAAATCAATTCAGAAACAAGAAGTTCTGCAAGCCATCAGGAGAAAGACCTTGAAATACTCAAAAAAGAAAAAAAGAAAAAAAAAGAAAGGAAAAGAAAAGAAAAAAAGGATATTTGAATAACACAAGCCTATCTTGCACCCACCAGAAAAAGAACACTACGGCTCAGGATCAAGCCCAGAGTGACCTATCCTGAAAATATGGGTTAACTATACAGGACAAAAGATGGACATTCAGCAATAAAAAAGAATTTGAAACATTTTTAGAAAGAAAATGAGAATTGAAGAAATTGTTTGCTTTTTGAATACCCCAAACAACAGAAATGCAGGAGGAATGAATTACTGCAAGACAGCAACAGCGTAACAGAAAGATCAGTAAGAGATATCCTTCAAAACGTACACCAAGAGATGGAAGTGAAGGCAGAAATCTGTAAAAGTAACAGCGAAGAGGTGAACATGGGGCATTACAGACAGAACCAGAGGACATTCTGCCTACTACTGCATGCTTCTTTTGTGGGGGGAGTAGAACAGAGGAATAGGGAGGACTGAGTGAGCAGGAGTCAAATCAAGGCCTAGCAATAAAGGAAAGATGACCTCTGTGGTCTTAGAAAGAGAAAAGTCTACAGAGGTGGGGGGTGGAGAGAAACACTGAAAAAGAGAGGATAAGAAAAGAAGCATTACTTTGGAGATGGCAGGGGGTTCCACTGGTGAATGATCTTATAGGTGAAGGGAGATGAAGGCCTTACACTGGATAAGGCCCAGGGGATTTGGTGAATGAAATCTACTAATCCAGGCAGAAGAGAAGTTGGAACCCTTGGGAAGGGGAGGGGGAGTTCAAATGACACCCAGTGGAGTAGGAGAGCACAGACAAATGGAAGAGATTTCCAGGCAAACGTAGAATAAAAAGGTCAATGAGAAAGGGTATAGACGGGGTGAGGAGAAGGAACAATAGTGCCCTAACAATGGGCCAGTACCCTCTCTGACACCTGCAATAATGGGCACTGTTCTGAGAATGATGCACAATGGAAAAGTGTAATCAATCGGGTAAGCCCTACAAGTCAGTGGGAGAAAGCACCTAGACAGCAGAGTCTAGAATGCATAACTTGGAAGCTTTGATTGTATGAAGAATACAGAGAAAAGAGAGACCGAAAAATTAGAGGAGTCCTGAGTCAAAGAATGAGGGTCTAGAATAAACAGAAAGGGAAGATTGATAATAAAGAGTGAGAGTAATCCTTTTTGGAAAGGGGTGTAAAAATGAAATATTTTTAAAAAGGCAAAAAAATTTCCAATAAGCAGGTCTAGATGAAGGGGAGAAGAAGTGGGGATCTACTTTACTGAGAGGAAAAAAGAGGGGGAAAAATATATAACCAGATAAAAGCAGAAGCAAGAAATTAATAAACAAAACCCTTAAGGAAAAGGGGTAACAAATGAGAAGAGGGGATCAGAGATAAGAAGAATAGACCCAGTGGGAACAGGGTCATTGTTAAAAAAAAAAAATTAAAGTAACTGAAAGAATATAGTACTATGTTTACAACAGTAAAGAGGAAAAATCATCACTTGAAAAAGAACACCAACAAACAGATGGAGGAAAATATAAACCTAACTTTTACCACTTTAAATGTGAATTGATAAAAAAATTTGATAAAGCAGAAAAGAGCAAAAGACTGGATAAGAAAACAAAACCCTACAATCTTGTAAGAAACATTAAAAAAAAAAAAAACCAAAGACATACACAAAATAAAACTGAAACGATGGAAAACAATTTACTATGCAGCAGCTAAATCCAAAAAAGTGGGAGTTGTGTCATTATGCTATCAGACAAATCAAAAACAAACATTCAAAAAACAAAATGGGATAAACAAGGAAACTTGTTATACTGAAAAGAATCACAGATAACAAACCATAAGCAATAATAAACTTATACACTCAAAATGCCTTTGTGAATTTGGATGCTAAGGCATTTTGAGTGTATAAGTTTATTATTGCAAAATACACGTTATTACAAAATAACGAAAAGAAGAATCTCTCTCAGTTTTGGATAAGTGTAAAAGAAATATAAACAAAAGGGAAAATAGGAAATTGAACAAATTTTTGTAGAAGCTAGATTTAAAAGACTAATGGCTTATAATCAAGTAGGATTTATACCAGGGATGCAAAGATGGTTCAGCTTTAGAAAAACGATTAACATAATTAAACAATCACCACAATAATAAAAACCAAAACTATGTGTTCATCTCAAAAGATGCAGAAAAAGCCTTTGACAAAAGGCTCTCTTTTATTCTAAGACATTCTTTTATTCTAAAAACAAAAACAAAAACAAAACAAAACAAAAAACAAACAAACAAAACCCTAAAAAATACTATTATATGGGATGCACTCTCCAGGAGGGAGAAGGTGAGAGATACGTGGGATACTACGGTAATGCAATTAACAGAAAACATCAATAAAAACTTACTTAAAATAATTTTAAAAATTGGTCCTTATACTGAATTTCATGGGGGTGGGGGGAGTGGAAATGGGAACAAAAGAAGACTATATTTTCCAATCAGGGATGGTGTTTCCCAAGGCTGTTGCCCAGACAGAGGGAAATCAGGACCTAGGTTGCTAGGACAGGCAGGTAACAAAAGATAGGATACACTGGCCTCAGAAGCAATGAGTGATCATGCTTGGGAGTAGGAACAGGTTTCCAGATCCACTCCAGCATCCCATAACACATTACTGTTTGCTTTGTGAATTGATATTTCTAGAAGTGAGGGACAGCAGAAGACCTTGTTCAAGACAAATAAATACAAAAGGAAAAAAGGGAAAGGAGTGAGGTTTATAATTTGTTATGAAAGAAATGGGATAGAGGAGGCAGATGAAATTTGGTACTCACTTTTAAGTTTAATCTGTCATGGAAAAAAAAGAGAATAACTAAGGAAAATCTAACAGTATAACTCATGAAAGGGAGAACAGAATTCAGAATAGACTAGAACTAGATAGAAATAAGGAGGAATAAAAAAAGATAACCTCTTTGAAAGGAGCATAGGGTTTGACATATCAAGTCTTCCTAAACCACTAGATTAAATAGCTATAGCTTGCCTAACAGTTATGTACCTACATGCCACTTTTTAAAATTAAAAAACTATATCTCTGAATAGAACTCTCACATAAACATATTCACCTTTTTGGTCCCTTTTAATACATACTTTCCAAATAAGACTTTTAAAAAATAGTTCATCAATAGGTTTTCATATACATTTTTTACCATAGGGTATTCCAAGACGTTCTTGTTCTTTCCTATAACCTTCAAGTGCAGCGGCCCATCTTGTCACTTGTTCTGAGGTTTCATCTGAAATTGTTGCGATGTGCTTAGTGCCATCGAGGGTTATCACTTGAGCTTCCTCCACAAGATGTGCTTCAGCTTCAGCATGGTGGGCATCTGGGTCAATAACAACTTCAACGGTTTCAGCAGGTTTAACAATTTCAAGGATATTTAACTTGGGCTCTATCCCTAGAAAAAGAATGGAAAAACATTTTTAACTTGACAGAAAACAATGAGTTATTAAAACAATACGCAGTTTATTTCAAATTCTTACAAATGTCACACAGCAAATTGCTATTATAATGTTTTGAAGCAATGTATCTAAATCACTCTCAGCACGTAACAGCTATTAACAATAATCCATGTTTGTTTTAAACCAGACCTGTGATTTCAAGGGTAGATAGGTAGTTCCAAATTGCTTCTTCCAAGACAAAAAAGTAACCTGTTCTGCAATTTATACTTTCATAGAGCTGCCTAAAGTACTGAGAGGTTAAGCGGGTTGCCTATATTCACCCAGTCAGTATATGCTAAAACCATGGGTATGCTGGCATATTTAACAACTGGTTCTCCAAAACCACCTAAAACACTTTTAAGTTTATAATCTGCATTATTAACACATTTGTTACATTAACATTTTCTCCACTTTTTAAAATCTAGACAATCAATAAAATAAATCAAATCCTGATTTTTAATCTTTGACAATTTTCAAGATGTAAATGCTCACACTGAAAACTTAGCAATCAGCTCTCAAAAACTAGAATGATTTGGTTCCAGCAAAACCCTGGTCAGAACCCAAATTTCCCTGACTTCAAGGCTAATTCTCTATGCACTATTATGTCGTGCTTCTTGCCCTTATAATATGAAATGGTAATGATTCACATACAACATTGCTTAACACATTTAAATTTTCATATCAATGAACAATCTTAGCATTTCTGAGACCATAGGGCAAACATATATACACATTCAGAAAGTTGTAGTTTAAAAAAATGTTTCATTAGTGAAATTATCTTGGATGCTGCCCCTGTTTACAACAGTCAGTCACCTAGAAGGACTCTGAGGTACATTCTGGTGATGGGAAAGAAAAAAGGAAAGATTGGGAACATAGTTTGTTGCCTAAGAAGGCAGGCTTGATTCGAACACCCAAGTCCAAGTTGACGAGCATATAATAAAGAGCTAGTATGTGCCAGGCATTGTGAAAGGGTGTGAGGATATAAAGAAAGGCAACCAATAGTCCTTATTTACAAGGAAGTGACAGTGTGATTAGGAGAAAACATGCAAAACACTATGAACAAACCAGGTACTAACAGAATATATTAGAGATATGCACAGATTGACGATCACAGATCAAGAAGTGCTAATAATCAGAAGGACTGGGAAAGGCTTCTTGAAGGTAAGATTTTAGTGGGGACATGAAGGAAGCCAGGAAGCAGAGATAAGGAAGGGGAGCATTCCATGCTTCTTCACTGTCACTGTGGGGCAACTGGTAAAACTGCACAGAGTTGGGAGATGGAGTGTTATGTGAAAAATAGTAAGAGGCCACTATCACTGGATGGTACAGAGGAGGGGAGGGAGGAGGAAGGTGAAGACCAGAAAGAAGACTGTAAAAGTAGGAAGGTGTCAGGTTATAAAAAGGTGTGTTAGCTAAAGAGCGTTTTGTATTTGATCCTGGATGTAATAGTGAACTACTAGAGTTAATTAGCAAGGTGACATGGTCATATCCGTGCTTTAATCAATAATGATTTAGGCCATTTTTTTATATGACTACAAACTGTTTTGATTTCTTCATCGGAAAACTGCCTGTTCATATTCTGTGAACACCTGTGCTTTAAGAAGTTCACTCTGACAACTGAGTGGTGGGATGGATTGGAGCAGGGACTTGGGGAAGTGAGACCAGCCAGATGGCTATTGCAGTAGCCCAGGCATTAGGTGATGAGGACCTAAATCTGGATACTGGCATCATCAGAGGAGAAAAAGGAAACATACACAAGATGTTGCAAAGGTAGAATCAGGACTTGACAAGATTGGATAAGGGAGATAAGAGAGAAAAGTCAAGGATGACACCTAGTTAGGGAGCCCGTGTAACTAGAAGGATGGTGGTACCTTCCACAGAAATAAGTTAAGAAGACAGGAGAGTTTTAAGAAAAAGATGAGTTCAATGTGGGGCATGTTGATTTTAAGATGTTTATAAGATGTTAAAATGTCTGTAAGGTAGTTCAGTACTTAGGACTGGAGGTCAAGAGAAGTTAGGGCTGGATAAATAGATCTGAGAATCATCTGCACAGAGATAATAATTAAATCCATGGCAACTGTTGAGATAATTAAGCAAATCAGTGTAGAGCAGTGATCGAGGGACCACCAGGGATCCCTGAGATCCCTTTGCCTCATGGCAAAATTTATTTCTATAATATTAAAATGTTTTAACTTCTAATATGGTAAAAATCAACAGCTAAAATCCATATAAACAAAAGCTCCTTTGACTTGACTAATTTTTTTTAAGGTAATTGTACAGGTGTTCTGACCCCTAAAAACTAGGAAAACTGCTAGTAGAGAGGCAAAAAAGAAGGACCACAGAGAGCCTTTAGGGGCCACCTATGGTTAGTAAATATGATTTAGATGAAGATTAAGCAAAAGAAACTGAGAAGGAACAGACAATGTAGGAGAAGAACCAGGAGAGAGAAAGGGAGGAAAGAGCATCGGAGAACAGAGGGTGATAGTCTCCAAGGCTGCAGAGAAGTCAAGGATGAAGATTAAGAAAAGGCTATTATTACACATGGCAATTACGTGAACATTTGTAACTCAAGAGAGATAGTTGCAGATGAGGTTGAGAGTCAAGCTAAAGACTAAGCTTGTAAAGCTAAGACAGAGAGAAGAAAGAAAGTAGAGGTACGAACAGAAGATGGCCTTCTTAAGGAGTTTAGCCATGAAAGAGGGAAGAGACAGAGAGCAAGTGAGGGTTTCTGAGGATGGGGGAGACATTCCCCCACAGTAGAAGTGGGGGCCTGGGCAGTTAGGTAGCAGCAACTAAATGATACTCTAAGTAAGGGCAGATTTGTGCATGCACACACATACTTTGCTTCCAGTATGTTTTTTGGTACCACAAAAAGTACTATTTATATTTTGAATATCTGGGGCCTGTCTTTGTCCTAGACCTCTTGGAGTAAACATCCAGAAGTAAGATTACTGGGCCAAATAGTGTGAACAGACTGGTAATTATTTTCCATAACAGCTAGACCATTTTACAGCTCCACCAACAGTGTACTTGTCTTCCACAGGTTCTTTAAAATAGATTGTTCCATCTTTTATCACCTTTTCCAATTTCATGCGTGTGGGGATAAAACTTAAATGTTGTTTAAATTGATATTTGTTATTCTTAGTGATTTGGATCAGCTTTTCATAATGTTATTAATAGTGTGTCAGCCTTTTGAAAGTTATCTGTGCATATTCTTGATCCTCCATGCCCCAGCAGACTTTTCACTCTACAAAATCCCTCTACCTCCTGTGGTCCCATCCCCAACTGAAGGCAGCTAGTGGAGCAGTGGATAGAGTCTTGGGCCTAGAGTGAGGAAGTCTTTCATTCAAATACAGCCTCAGAGTCTCATTAGATGTGTGACCCTGGGCAAGTCATTTAACCTCTGTTTGATAGTTACTAAAAATTATAGTGCATTATTTAGCAGCTATTTCCTAATTTAGTATCTGTTGGCAGTTTTAAATCAAAATATAATAAAGCAAACTTTTTGGTAAGAAAAACAAACTCACGTTGAATTAATAATGAAAATCAGTCTTGAAAGTAGTTAAAACTTTGCTGCCAATTAATTCTTTTAAATTCATTTACGTAACTTATAAAGACCCCAAGTCTGTTTCTCAGCAATACCTAAGATAGAGATTTGAGATAGCAATATTTTAAAGTTATGATTTCCTAGAACATATTCAAATCCCATTAAATCAAGTCTTCAATGGTTCTTAGTCTTCTGATTGAATTACTGAGCATCTCTATTTTTCAGAAAATTGTCAAGTAAGACACAAATAATGAGCAATTGTTTAATATTCATTAACCAAGCCTCAGTTTGTGACATAATTTTTGAATTCTGTTCAATTATCTGAAATAACTAAATTACCTAAAGTAATTCAAATTAAGAATACTCATACCTTACTTAGCCAGTCAATAAGCAGTCAGTCAATAAAAAATATTAAGTACACATTAAGTGTCAGGGACTGATGAGCAGTTGGGATACAATGAAAGATAAGAGAAGGTCCCTGCTTTCAAGGAGCTTGCAGTCTAATGGCAGAGACATAGAAAGCAACTATGCACAGTCAAGCAATATATAGGACAAATGTGAAATAATCAACAGAGGGATGGGACTAGAATTAAGTTAGATAAGGAAAGCTGCCTGTAAAAGGGATTTTAGTTGGGACTCAAAGGAAGTTAGGGAGCTTAGGAGGCAGAAGTGAGGAGGAAAAGGATTCTAGGTATGGGAGACATCCAGTGAAAATTACCAGAACTTAGAGACGAAGTTCCTCATCTGAGGAACATTTGAGGAGACCAATGTCACTGGATAGAAGAGTATGTGGCTGGGGAGAGGAATGTAAGGTGTAAAAGACTTGGAATGGGAGGGGGCAGGCAGGTCATGAAGGGCTTTGAACACCAAACAGAATTTTACAGTTAATCTTAGAGGTGAAAGGGAGTCTTGGAGTTTATTGAGCAGAGGGGTGACATGGCCAGATCTGCACTTGAAGAACATCACTGAATCCTTATCTGAAAATGAATCCGTCCAAGAGGTTTTTTTTTTTTAAGTTTCCGTGACATATGCAAAATTCAATAAGTATAAATTATTAAAACTAAAGCATAAGCTTATATTCCATGAAAACACTAAGTACTTTCAGTGACAACCTCTAATTTCTAAAACAATCACTAAATAGCCAACTGATACAGTAAAAACAATATTTAATAATTAGGACTATGCCTGACACATACTAGTTGTTTAATAAACATTTTTAGCTGAAAATAATTTTAAAATACTAACCTTGATAGGAGATAACTTGTACACTAAGTTGAACAGTTCCATCAGTCTTGACTCCTTGGTCAAATAAACTTCGGTCTGGATCCAGCTTAACATAAGTATAAAATAAGAAAATGTTACAATTTTTTTTCTTTAAAACAAATCAGCTTACTATAAAGAAACATGAATACAACAACCATGAGTAACTGAGGCATTTAATACATCAAAATTATGGTTTAAAGGTTACCTAGCTAAATGTGACAGCATTCAATTTTTAAAAAAAACTAAAAATATTTTAAATGCTGGAGTAAATATTAAGATCAAAGGATCATAGATTTTGAGCTGTAAAGGGTCTCAGAGAAGCCCAGAGAGGTAGTAAGTAGCAGATCCAGAATTCAAACTCAGCTTCTGTGACTCCAAATCTAATGCTCTTCTCATTGCACCACGCTGCGAAGATCAAGTTCTCCCTATCTACAGGTTTCTTTTCTGTTGCCTCCGAGCACCCAAGTCTCTTCTATCCTAAAAAATTTCTCACTAGAATCTCAAGTTATCTTTCTTTATCTGTCTTCCTTCTCATAGCCCATCTGCTATAAAAAGATGTCTATATACACTGCTCTACTTCCTTTCCTTTCACTCTTTTGCAAACCATTTGCAATTCAGGTCTAGGCCTGAGGCTCAGGCGGAAGGTTCCCCATCCCTGATCTAAGTTCTAGCTTCATCACTCAAAACTCTTCTCTCCAGTCTCGAAAGTGCCAAATTTAACAGCCTTCACTCAATTCTCATTCTTTTTAATCTTTTCTGTTTCACCTGAAATTGCTGATTTCCCTCTCCCCCATAATACTTTACTCTTCTATTCCCTTTATAATTCTCTCCCCAGGTGACTTACTCAGCTCTCATGGGTTTAACTATCATCTCTAGGTAGATAATTTGCATGAGTATATTTCTTGTTACCTCTTATCTGGATTAAGGCAATAGCCTTAATTTTTTTTCCCCATTATGAAGTGAACTATTTACAAAAATGCACATTTCTGATGGGGTATAGGCTCTGGACCTCGCACCCCTTTTGAACTTTCAACCCAGCCCAGCCCCTGAATTTTCCCACGTGGCCCTGAGCAATGAGGCATCAGCTCATCCCAGAATGATCCTTTCCATTGTCCTTTCATTGCACTTCGGATCCAGCCCAGCCCTTCACTGTCTGTTACCTGGGCTATTTCCTACCCTTAATCCCATCTAGACTCCTTCAGAGTTACCTCCAAGTCACCCCAACCACTCCTTGATCCCATCCAAATCTTCCCATAAATCTTTTTCCCAATAAAAAAGGTCAGTCTCATCTACTAAATGCACAGGTTCTTAAAATCCAGACTACTTCTATTGGCGAAACAATAAACCTTGTCTGTGACTGAAAGAAGGTTTGGGTGGTTGAATTCTTTCCAGGTAGGACCTGTGCCTTTTGCCCTTGAATTTCAGGATTCCCAACACCCCTAGACTGTAAGAATTTCAATATATAAACAGAAGATCGCATATGAAACTTGAACTTCTATTAAGTTTTAAAAGTATATAGTTAACCAGATAACCAAATTTCCTTTATTTGTATTTCTTTCTGAACTCCTTCTTGTTAGAGCCTCTAATTTAGTTTCCTTGTCTATTCACCCCACTTTAATCTATCCTCCATAGAGCTGCTAAAATGATTTTGTAGAAGAGCTGGTCTAATCACATTATTCTCCTACTCAAAGCCAACATCTCTTTATTGCCCCTAAGAGCAAACAAGCACTGAAACTACAACCTATCCCCCAACTGCCTTTCCAGCTTTGATATACATTACTTCCCTTTCTTGCATTCTCCTGTCCAAACCAGGGGCCAGTTCTGGCATGAATGTGAGCCAGCTGTTAAATTTGTATGACAAACCTTCAAATAGTTAAGGGGGTGGGAGGCAAAAAGGAATAAGCATTTATTAAGCATCTACCATATTCTATATTATCATGCTAAGTGCTTTACAAATATCTTATTTAATCCTCACAACAACTCTGTGAGGTAGAAGTCATCTTTTCTCCCATTTTACAGTTGATGAAATGGAGGCAGAAAGAGGTTAAGTGATTTGTCCACAGTCAAGATAGATGCTATTATCACCATTTTACAGTTGAGGAAATTGAGGCAGACAGCGTTTAAGTGACTTGCCCAGAGTCATACAGCAAGCTAAGTATCTGAGGATAGACTTGAACTTATGTATTCCTGACGTCAGATCTGGCACCATCCACTGTGCCATTAAGCTGCCTCTAGGCAGCCAAGACATCTATCATGTAGTTTTCTTTCCCCCCTCACTTAACTGTTCCTCTAGTTTGGTTAGACATTTCCAACAGGACACTCAGAACTGAAGACAACATTACAGAGCATGGTAGTATTGTACTCTCTTCTAATAAGATCAAATGATCACATTGTTAAAGATTTAGAGCTAGAAAGGACCTCGGGTTCATCTGTTCCAACTCTCTCATTTTACAGGAAACTTCCATGAAATTTTAAGAAGAAACTCAGGGCCAGAGACGTTAAATGACTTGCTCAAAGTCACATAGGTAGTAAGCAGCATAGCAGAGATCTGAACCAAAGTTCTCTGACTCCATATCCGACATCCTTTTCAACTGTACCATGTTGCCTATTTTACCATAAACGCAAAGTCTTATACTTAGATTTGAAAAATTAATGTAGAAAGTAGTACTTAGTAATAAGTTCGTGCAAACTCAATAGCGAGATGCTAGTCAAAAAATCTAATGTAGTCTTAGGCAACAATAAGAAAGACATGGTATACCAAATAAGAAAAGCAATAATCCTAAGTTAAGTCTTGCCCTAAGCAGATCACAAAAAGGATATTTTATTTAGATGTTGAATCCATATTTTTAGAAGGACATCGATAAACTAAAAATCAGAGGACAGCAACTAGGATAATGAAAGCCTTGAGACCATGCCATAAGAGTACTGGGTGAAAGAATTGGGAATATTTACCCTGAAGAGAAGATTTAAGGGGAACATGATGACTGACTTTGGGTATTAAAAAGATTTTCCATTTAGAAGAAGAACTATGCTTGTTCTCATTAACCCCAGAAAGTATAATTAGGAGTTATGGGAAGAAGTTACTAAGAAGCAGATTTCAACTAAAAATAACAAAAAGCTTCCTAAGGATAAGAGCTATTTAAAAGTAGAATGGGCTACTTCTGTAGTGGGACCTTTTTACTGTAAGTCAGATGACCATTTGTCAGATATAGTTGAAAGGGGATTCTTTTTCAGGGAAAGGCTGGCCTAGCTGGCCTCTGATAACCTTTTAAATTCTTTGAGAATCTGTTTTTATGGATCACTTCAAACTGCAATGATATTAAAAGGTTATTCTTCTTCCTTCTCTACTTTGTACACTACATCAGGCCTACACAACCTGTGACTCACCAAAGGATTTCCTCTACATTTTTCACAGGCTGCCCAAAATCCTTTGGCGGGCTACAGGTTGTGCAGACTGCACTAGATGATGCTATGAATACTTTTTTAGTGAAACATGGTCTTTTTGTTGTTTTCCCTTTGAGTTGGCAAATTTGCATTAGATGTATTCACATTTGGCAAACAAATTTTCAAGGCCAAAGCCTGCCTCTACAAAAATGGGAAATTTAAGTGCAAATCAGTGGCAATTAATTAACAATAAATTTAAATTTTTTTGTAAGCGTACAATCTTCAGAAACAACATTCTTCTTTTATGAAATCTTTTAACAATGATTTTATTTAATACAAGAGTAAGTCAATAATGTAGATCAGTATTTTTAGACATCACAAACAAAATTCTGCTTCTATGTTACTGAGTAATAGATACTCATCATCTTACTGGTAGTGAGGGTAATGCTGTGGTTGTGCTCTAATCACATTTTCCAACACAACAATCACACATTATAGTGATTTCTCCCTCTTTTCTCTTTATACTGGCTTTCCCACTGACCACAAATATGCTCAGGTAGTTCCCATTAAAAAAAAAAACAATCAAAAACCAAAACCCCCCCAAAACAAAACAAAAAAACCCTTCATTTGACCCAGTCAACCCTGGATATCCCAAAGGTCTTTCAAAGTCTACAAGAGTAACATAGAATGCATTCTTTTTACCTTTAAACCTTTCCCTTGTGCAAATATACTTATTTCTGTTGAAGGCATAGACTATTTGCTCTCCTCAATACTACATCTGTCAAAGCAGCTAATAAGTCCTGCTGATCTTCTCTTCCCATTTTTGTATCCACTCCCTTCTCTCAATTCACTAAGTCATTATCCTAACTGACGTGTCCTTCACCTTACAAAAACTACTGAAATAGCCTCTAAATTGGTTTTGCTTATCCTAGTCTCTCCCTTTCTTTGAGCTATTTCCTATATACATTAAAAAAAAAATCCTTAACTCTAACTGGAATAGACTAATCATGGTCCTACAGAGTAGATAATAAAACATAACCCCTTCCCCTTTTTGGTAGTGAGGACTACAGAGGACTATTGTTGTATACGTCTCACATGTGGGTACTGTTGTTTTTTGCTATATAAAAGGGTTAGGTAAATTACTGGGTAAGAGGAGGGGACACTAAATGTAGCAATGACTGTGATATAAATCAGTCAACAAGCACTGATTAAGCACCTACTATATACCAAGGTATGTGCTAAGCACTAGGGATATAAAGTAACCTCCCCCACCCCCAAAAGTCCCTTCACTCAAGGATCTCACAGTTTAATGAGACAACATGCAAACAACTATGTACAGATGTACAACCAACTATGTAGAGAGCTGGCAGTGCAATGGATAGACCATTAGGTCTGGAATCAGGAAGACCTGAGTTCAAACTTAGCCTTAGCCACTTACCAGCTGTGTAACCCTGGGCAAGTCACTCAATCCCTATTTGCCTCAGTCTCTTCAACTATAAAATGGGAATAACAACAGCACCTACTTCACAACGCTATTGTGAGGATCAAATGAAATAATATTTGCAAAAGTACTTAGCACAATGCTTGGCACATAATGGGTGCTACACAAATGTCTATTCATTTCCCTACCCCAAACAAGATGTATTTAAGATAAATCAGAGATCATCAATAGAGGGAAGGCAC